CCAAAAAATCCTATATATGAACCTTATATCCGTACAGTTTTCAATAAAACATTGATTCTTCGTGCCATAGCAGACCGAAGCTATTTTGATGAACAAAACAGAATAAAACGTTCGCCCCACTTATATTGTTTCAATGGTTCATTAATATGTCATGGCATAATTAGTCAATTAGATGATGCTGATCATTGTATTGGATTTAATGAATTGAAAAACTATGCGCATCCACCATTTTATTTTCTCTTTTGCAATAACAGCAACACTATACATCAACAAACTATTCAAGAATTACAACCATCGTACAATACAAATCTGACTTACAGATGTATTATCACAAATGAAATAATCTCTATAAGCGATGTTAATAATGGTTATTTTGATTGTCTTTTCAAAGATGATGAAATGAATATAAATTATATTCCATCTAAAAATCAAAAATATCGTTATCGATGTGTATCATCAATAAATACAATACAATACATTAGTTATCAACAACTGGGTGATGGAAAATCTGATTGTTTTGATGGTTCTGATGAATATACATCTATTAGAAATTGGGAAGATTTACAATGTAATTCGAAAGAAGATTATGCTTGTAAAGTGTTTCAAAATCAGAAGATTGTAGAAAATATTGAAGTTTCATATAATCAATATTGTGATTCATTTTCAAATACAATAGTCAGTAATGATGAAAGAAATTGTCGTGAATGGATATGTCCAATAGATCGTATTCGTTGTAACACTACAGGACAATGTATTTATCCAGAATGGTTATGTGATAATGAATTTGATTGTTATGATGGTAGTGATGAATTAAATTGTTTGCGTAACGTTAATCATAAATGGAAATTAGAATATGTTTGTAATAATACAAGTGAACATTTTTGTTTAACAAAACAATATATTCAAAATCAATCATTTTATCGACCATGTATTAGCTATGTGTTAGCAGGTGATGGTATTATTAATTGTATAGGAGGTAAAGATGAGCGTAATACATTGTTATGCAATGATGGTTTAACATTAGGTGATCGTTTTCGATGTGAAGATAACTCTTGTATACTTGCTGATTTCGTTTGTAATGGATTTGAAGATTGTCAAGATGGATTTGATGAAAAAATAGCTTCGGTCTGCTATGGCACGAAGAATCAATGTTTTATTGTAAACTGTACGGATATAAGGTTCATATATAGGATTTTTTGGAAAGTATATCAATTCATCTTTGCAATAGGTTTCAAAGTTCTTGATTCTGTTCTGCATTGAGTGTCGAAAATCCAGTAAATGTGTTAAAGCTTTGTGGCATTCATTAATTGAAGTTGCACTGTCGAACGTTGTTTCGTGTAAATATGACAAACAAGTACCGTTCGTTCTTGTTTTAAGATGAAAATCAACTTCACAACGATAATATAGATTACGATAGTTCCCGCAACTTTTTTCATTGATTGAATCAAGCCATTGTATACACTGTCCATTTCCACAAGAAAACTCATCTTTATTACAAAATCGTTCATCACAATCAATATTTGGTATTGTATCACATTTTTCATAAATTTCAAGCATCTTTTTGTTTTTTTGTTCATCTGACAAGTCCATACAGTCGAATTGTCCGTCGAAAACAAACTCATCTGGTATACACATGCCATTTCTGCATCGAAATTCATCTAATTCACATTGGTTTTCTTTTAATAAATAACAATTTTTTTCGTCAGCATAATCATCACATTGCACTATTCCGTCACATATATTACGCCATTCTAAACATACCATGCCTGTATTGCACGTGATATCTGCATAACATATTGGTATTGAGTGATATCTAAAAGCCGGCTGTACTCTCAGCTGTTGCTCTACAAGTGCTTTCGGTGATTCTGCCGTCGAAAGTTTATATTGACAGATTGAGCCAAAATAGCCTTTTGAACAATTACAAATAAAGCCATCAGATCCAGAATAATAGATATATTGTGTATAACTTTGAACAATATCAACCGGTATTAACCATTTTAATAACGTATGCTCGGTAATACTATTTTCTTTTAAATCTGAAAATGTCCAAATTTCGTCGACATTTTTTGTGCAATTTTCTGGAAGAACTACGTTAGTAGAAATATGTGTCGGTCGTCGACAGTAGAATGTACTATCCACTTTAAAACAATCATAATTTTCCGTTGTCAAATGAGATTGGATAGAACACATAAGCCATTCACTGCCACTTACAAAATTGCAACAAAAGTAAATAATAATCTGTACTATCATAAACACTATGATGTGGTACAAGCTAAAATGTAATTAAAAAAGAAATTCAGTCTTTTACGGCTAGTATATTTCATATCGTATGCGTCAGTTTTCAAATGAATCTGTCTTACTGTTACGAAGTGCAGGTTTTTCGGATGTGTAAAAAGAGTCAAAGGTGGTAGTTAGAACCAGTTACTGTAACCATACTTTCAATCAAACTCTGAATTATATCAGGTCTAGTCTAACTAGTCCTTCAAAATCTTTTTATTTGTTGTTGATATCGCTTTTCGATTGAAAAGTCTATCATACACACTAGAAAATCTCTTAAAATACTTAGTTTTGAGTTATTTCTAAAATTTAAATGCTCTATATCTTTTTTCTTTAAACATTATTCTATTAAACATTTCTTAGTTATCCTGGCTGCGAACAAAAACAAACGCCCTCTCATATGAAAGTAGCACAGAGAGAGATATAGTACGAAATGTTTTCTACTACTATACTCTCAAGAGGTGTGTTATGAAACCTGTTTTAATACGAAACCTTGAAGGGTATCATACGAAATCTCTTCGATTACTAAACCTTAATGAGGTTTTGCAGATACGTACCATACCTGATTGGTATGGGAAAGTTCCAGGAAACCTTATAAGTTTCATACTATACCTCTTTTTTTCCCAGATTATAGCGGTTGTTTATTGCCACAAGTGATTTTCTAGTACATATGTCTTATGCACTTTTCTGCAGATCAGCTCTAGTGAATTTTTAAAAAAACTCCTTAAAAGCTATCTATCAGTAGAGCTATTTGTCTAAAAAGTAACTGTTTTATTTATATTCACCTTTCTGAGAGGGAAAAATCGTTAAGTTATGTCAATCGTCCTTATTTCAAAAAAGGCTTTCTGTCGTTCAGAATTGCTGTGTAACTCGAGAATCAGTTGATCCTATTGATTTATAAGACAACTGACTTGTCGTTTACAACCAAAGTTCATGAAACTTTGCTTGTTTTCATGTAAAAATAATTAACAATAAATAAATAAGGTTTGCGTACTTTGAAGATTTTAACATTTTATTAAATTATTTTGCTTGTGTATCAGACGCTAGTCACTAAAACTATAAAAATAACAAAAATAGTATACGATAACATTTTTAAATTAAGTTTCTAAAAGAATATAATTGTTGATGAAATGCAACATTATACGACATTGTCAAAATAGCATCACACTCGCAAACATGATGAAAAATATACTCAATGAAAATATTCATAACAAGATCATGGAATATCTAAAATAACTACAAGTATGAGAGACTAATATGGTAAAAATATTTCCAAATTAGGTCCAAATTTGGACTTCATTTTTTCTACATGTTAACCCTTTAAGTCCCTAAAGTTTTAATGCTTGGTTTTGCGTCAATCGCTTATGAAAATGGAACATATGAGACCTCGATATGACTTTCTCACACTCAAAAAACAATTACTTTTCATTTTTAAAAATGTTACGTTTTTATAATTTAGTTGTTCAATAAAAAGCTTTTTCTAAAGTACGTAAAAAGATTAAATTAAAAAATTATATTTCTTCGAAAATATTCTTCATTTTAAAATTTAAATATCTCGGTTAGTATAAAATATAAATAATATATTTTTTTTACCATTCGACAGTCAATTTAATTCTCTATAACCAATGCAAGATTAGTTTTTTCAAACAATGATTCCTAAGTTTCTCATAATGGTAATACCAATGTCCATTTGAACGGACATTGAGCATTAAAGGGTTAAAGTAAATTAAAAACTAATCGTGAATGTAAAACATATTGCTGATAACATATTGCTATATGCTTAATGAGCTACCTTTATTATCGAAACAATGACTAAAATAAAAATACGAACTACGCTAAACTCTTCTTCTTCTCTTTCTAACGAAAAATATCTCTCACTTATCTCTTAACATAAGACATAAATTTCCATCAAATACAAACTAAACAAGCTAAAAGACAGAATTTTAAGAATAGAGAAAAACAATCATCTAGAAAAAGCAATTATTGATCACATTTTTATTGTCTGCGTACTAGGGCATCGTCACACATAGGTATTATTATGCTAATTTAAATTCGAATCTCTTTAGCATAAATGTAACCGGTCGAAAATTTTTCGACCGGGCCGGGCCGGCCGGTTGGCCGGTAATATGTTTTCCTAGTGTGTAAGTGTAAAAGCCTAGTGACTGAGGAGTGCTAAGGCTGCTGGAAAAACGTCCATAGCTTGCGAACCATGGATTTCCAAGATGTCCCTTAGACCCAGTTTTGTAGAGGATACTTCGGACTATATATGTATGAAAACAAATGCATAGATTTCTATGTCAGCTTTCAGAGAACCGAACTGGTTTTCCACAGATCTCCTAAAAACACGATTTTTGAAACGTTTCTAAATTCGTTTTTGCGTTTGGAAACATAGTCTCAGATCTTGGTTAGCGAATGATGAAAACCGCAAATCTCTAGCTTTTATTCCTCTTGAGTCATTCAAACAATGACTATGGGCCTTGTATCTTAGCGCCGATAATAGTGCAACAAATATTAAAAAAGAAAGAAAAACTAACGGAATATTTTCTATATATATAGATTTCATATAGTAGAGATTACCAGTTCTGCTCTCGCAGACTGTTGACAAAAAAGAGAAAAAACTAACTTTCTTAATCTGAAATATGACAAGCTTTGTTTTACTTAGCTCAATAAATTCGTTTTCGACAAAGTACTGATTTTTCAGACAAAAAAACATTTTTTTTCTCGACCGGCTGGTCAGATTAATTTTCTTTCGGCCAGCCGGTTGTCGGTACCGATTATATTTCTGCTCTTTAGGCATTCAATCATCTTGTATCGACCTGTTACTTCATGCAACTGATTCACATCATTGGAAACCTGTATGTAAGATTAATGTTGAAAATTTGAAGAAAATATATTAAGTAAAGATCGATGAAAAGTAAAAACTTTAACGAATCGAACAGCTAATGTTAATTGTATTCAAGCAAATAGAATGAATAATAAAATATGTTGAGTATCTTAACAATTCAGACAAATGATTACAAGTGAAAAATACAAGATTTATGTACATGGTATTTTGCACATATTGACTGTACTATTACAGGTATAGTCTATTATTTTACTAATTATTTAAAGATGTCTATTTTATTCAGCTTCAAGAGGCAGGTATGAAGAATTTTCATTGTTAGTATATCAAAAAGAAAAATCCTTAACGTATTTCAATCTCTATTCGTTAGTTTACATGATCACTGTTTTCTCATTTCATAATCAACATAAAGCATCTCAGATTTATTTAAGGAGAACTCCCCTCCCTCATCATTAACCTTAAAATGTGCCAGTATAAAGTCCACATCTAGGCGCATAATTCTTGATAATTTTTCTTTTTAAAAGGTTATGTGGTCTCGGGGATGCTGCCCAAGAACCGCTCAGCCAATTTTTGAGACGAGGCACGCTCCGAGAAAACTAAATAAATTTTCGAGGACTCGTGCTAGTCAAACAACTTTTTTCTGTTTGTAGAGCATTGTTTGCTCTATAAAATCGACGTAAAGAAAAAAATATTCTCTTCTTCTCATAGGCTTTTGCTTTGGCTATAATGGAAAAATTCTCACTTTTTCACCAAATCATTAGTTTATACTCGTGAGGGCGCTTTTCCGCTTGCTGTGGGAATCAAACTCTTTCTTCGGTAATATTCGCCATACACTTTTGTACAGAATAAGACATTGAGCACAGTCTAACATATGTTTTCATAGACAGAAGGGTTTTTTGAAAAAATTTCTGAAACCAATTTTTCAGAGGTCTCTAAAAAACCATAATCTAAGTCATCTATTTTACATAGGGATCTATCTCTTTTTTTAATAGTTAAAGAGTCCAAAATGTCCTCTACAAAACAAGATCTAAACAAAAATTTCATTTTGCTTGGTTCGGGAGCTTGAGACGTTGTTCTCGAAGCTCTGGTACTGCTCTATTCTTTGGACTGAGATCCTCACAAATGCATGAAAATATAGGTTATCGACCACGCTGAGTCGCATGCCAATGTTAGTTTTCAGAACAGAATGCAAGAATCGACTTAAAAGCAGTACTAGCACTAATTCCTTTTTGGCTATTTCCATGAAAAATTAAAAACTTCAAATCCAAGCAAACTACTTCATAATTTCATCTTATGCTTTATCTTATACGCTTAGTCTGATTCTGTACTTAAGATCAATGAAAAAATATTCTCTTAGTTTCGAAGATTTCTGAGAAACCGTTCGAAAAGCAAAGTATTTTCTCTTCGTTTTCAAAACATTTAGTGAGCTTTCAGATATACTGCAGATAAAATAGAGTATATGGTGATATTATGAAGCAATTTGGATGGATTCTGATTGAGTTAAGAATTTTTTAATTTTTCATGGAAATAGCCAAAAAGGAGTTAGTGCTAGTACTGCTTTTAAGTCGGTTCTTGCATTCTGTTCTGAAAACTAACATTGGCATGCGGCTCAGCTTGGTCGATAACCTATGTTTTCATGCATTTGTGAGGATCTCAGACCGAAGGATAGAGAAGTACCAGAGGTCGAGAAAAACGTCTTTGCTTGGTTCGAGAGCTTCAGACGTCTTTCTCGAAGCTCTGCTACTTCTCTATTCTTCGGTGTGAGAAAAGTTATTCAATTTTTTTGGAGCGTGCCTCGTCGTAAAATTTGGGTGACCGGTTCTTGGGCAATATCCTCGAGACCGCATGAAAAACTATCAAGAAGTTGGGGTTTTTTAAATTTTCCTATACACTATCCGCATACCGAAAAACTGCTGCTGATACAATAGAGACGCAGGATTAACCTTAACGGAAAACAGAATTTTTTTTTGTTGATCGTGCTAACATACTGGTTTTACATATTGAAAAAACGAACGAGGACAGGCTATAAATCATCAGTTTTATATTATATAATTTGCTTAAAACAGTTCGG